TTTATTAAGTACTGAACACAAAACAGAGAACACTGAGCAAAAGAAAAAGAAGAAAAAATAATTCTTAGGCTTAAAAATTTCAAATTATATAACATAATATCAATAACTAAAAATGTCAGTAGTGTTACTAAATAGTGTCATTGGTGTTACCAGCATACACCAGTTTTTGAAAACTTTGTATATGTAATACATGATATTGTTAAAACATTGTTAAATAAGTATTGTTTGTTATAAATAATATGATGTTTCGCTTGTTAAACATGAAAGAAAACCAAAAAATGCTGATTGTCATAATATATTCAGTGGTGTTACTAAGCTGGTCAATGGTGTTATTTTATTAAAATGGTATCACCATTGACAGTAACACCATTGATTTTCAGGTGTATTTTAAGGTTTAGTTACAAAATAAGGGCTCCATTCCCCTATTTTATATGGTGTTCCTGGTGCATGTTTCTACAATCAATATATTTCATAATTCAAAGTTCAGGAATTTAAAAAAAAAGAAGATTTTTTTAAGGGTACACCATGGACACTATTTTCAATTACGATATAGCTTGTACTTACTTTTAATATTTTTTTACTAAATTTTCAACATAAATGTTTGTTTTCTTTTGCATAACATGCTTACAGGTAACAGTGCTAAGGAAAAAACTATTGTAAATGCTGAAATATTGAGAAAGATAACTCTTACCCTACCAATTTGTCTTTTGGTTACACCATTGACTTAAAAAATGAGACTTTTCCTTTTGGTTAAATTTTTTATTATAAAACCAACATACACCTTCCAAATCATTAAAAAAATGTTTGTATGTATCAAATGCAATAAAAAGTGATAATTTCTAATAACAAATGATATGAATAATAGCCCTATTTCAGGTCTGAAGGGATTTATAGTAAAAAATAACAGTTGATTCTGGCTATATCCAAGGGTTTGAGAAAAAATTAAGAATGTTTTTATAACATTTCATACTGTAAACTGTGTATAGTGTATCACAAAACATTCATATCTTTCATATGCAATAATTATTTTGACACATTTTGATATAGTTTCATGTCTTTTGACTTGAAAAGACCAAATAACATAGTTTTGCATGTTTTTTTGATAATGACCCATGAAAGAAGATGGATACAAATCTATTTCAGAATGTCAATTCTTAGGCTCTAAACCCACAAAGTCCACATGTGGCAAATAGATTCCTTGTGGACTATATAAGTGGGTTTTGTTTCGAGGAGGCCATGCTCCTTGCACGATCAAGACATATTGTTTGTGACTCAGAGGGCTGTATGCATATCATTACTACGAAAAGTATGGGATTGTAAACATAGTGAAAGGCTTCACGATTTCCCCATACTTTTAACTGTGATCAGCGCGCGGTGATTATTAACTCTGTGTAAAAATTAACAAACTTCCATGTCGAAATTTTTTCTAAATAGATTGTTACTGAATTCTACCCAATAAATTCTTTAGAAGGCTACACAAACTCATTATAGGATTGCCCAAAGAATATGCATTTGATATTAATGATTTAGAAAAAAATTATATAGATACATGTACCAAAACATCCTGATAAATAAAAGAGTTGAAGGCCAGTACGTATTAATTTGTTTTGAATACCTATAAGGATTTCTTCTGACTCCAAATTTTGGAAACCAAAACATGAAATAAATGTCAATAGCAGTTTCAATACTGCCTTAAACACCAATTTGTAATACTAATAAACATATTTTTTCATTGATATTGTTGAAGACTTTATAAGCATATTTTTTTTCTGGCTTCTTAATATTCGAAGTCCACTACAAAATCTTTATGAAATTGACCCTAGTATATGTGGGCAGTGTTATATCGTTATGATCTACCGTCACGATAATTCGTCTCAAGTAATTGTTATGATACTATGTAGATAATACAGTTCTCTTAAAGATAGGCATGATTTGTTATTGCTACATCACATCCTTATAAATCAGATATAATTGTGTTACTTCCGGACTTAAAAGTAAACAACTGAAGGACCGGAAACTATGTTCGGGTTCGTCCATATTATCCAACGACAGTTCACTTCCTAGTAGTACAGTTCATTAGTTTACCCACATTTAAATTTTTCAATTCAATTCTTTATTTACCAAATGTTATACAACATATAGGTATAATCAATATATACTAAATTTAAATTACAAAAATAGACGATCATGACAAAACAGACAGAAATTGTAAATACACATACAAATAAATATATATGAATATATATAGATATAATTTCAAATAGCAAATATATGTAATAAATGAAGTACAAATCAACTTAAAAGCAGTCATTTCTGAGCTTCACTGCTCGAAATATATATTTTCCTATAAGTTGCACAAGTCTTTAACATTAGTAGTGCTTAATAATTGTAAAAGTTTATAAACAGATGGCTTACGCCAATACTATGGTTTTATTAAACATTCACGCAAATTTGAATATAATAATGGACATGATAAAATAAAATGCATTTCATCCTCAATAGCACCAATACCCATTGTACAGGTTCTAAGATTTCTATTTACATTAGAATACCTTCCCTTTTCTATAGCTAGATTATGCGAAGACAACCTCAATTAAACAATACAACTTTTGTAAATTTCGGGTATTGGTTTACATAAATATGTCATCAAAGAAAAGTTTGATATCATATATCTGTACAAAAACATTTTGATGAACTTTCTAAAGTAGCATCAAACACTTGTTTGACAATATCACACAGTCTCTGTTTAAGGATGTTCGCTACTCTGTTTAAAAATAACAAGCTTTTTTTTTAAAGACTGTTATAAATTGGTGGTAAATAAATAAAGAAACTAAAAACTAAAAAAGCAGAAAAAATGAAGGGTCCGTGTGCTTGTTTTCGAGATATGGGCCATTGAAAATTTGGTGGGAAATAAATTCCTCTAGATTTGTCATACATTTAACATTGGCACCTTTTTTCTTTCAAAAACGACCAAAAAATAACAAGGATTTTATAAGATTTTCAAAGATGACATTTTAAACTATATGTAATCGAATTATGGAAAGTAGGGGTTAGTGGGCAAAATTTTTAATGGCACTACGTGGATGAAACCAGAGGATTCCGAATATCTTGAAAAAGTTCAAAAACAAGAGGAGCGAACATCCTTAATAACCATAATATGTTCTTTACATACACCATTTTGTGAATATCACAAATCATTTTAACCAAGATGGAACAATTCCTTTCATATATTACAAACCCAGTTATTTTTGTCATTTGGATTCTTCAAACACATATTATACAAATAATTGTAACAACCAAGTAATATACAATTATCATTATTCAATAACTTAATCCAAAACTTGAATATACGCAATTTCCTGGTTATGAACTTTGCAGATATCCGATAACCTTGTTCTGCAACTTGTTTTAACATTCAATTTTTTTTTACAAAAATCAATATGTATTTTTCTACATCTTGAGCTTTATGGAAGCCCCATATTTCCGTTTCCATAGCATATAATACTACTTACGTTTAATATGATAATAGTCTTTTATTCAAAAGCAATACAGCTTATATAATTTACATATACAAATATAATGGCATCAGTGATTAATTACATATGTGTTTTACAATTACAAACAGTTTGAATCCTTGAATCATCGGCGGAGAATGACAACAAATAATACAAATAATGAAATATGAGCATTATATTATGCATAACGAATCTACCATATGTATCAAACAAGGACAATAACGTGGCATAATTAAATGAATATTGTCTAATATTACTAAATAAACAAAACATAGCTTTTCTATACCTTGTTCTGCAACTTGTTTTTGTGCAACGGAAACTTTTCCATTAAAATTAAGAACAACACCTAGATTAGTAAATTTGTTAACTATATCTATTTGTACATCATCATAAAACCATTTATTTTCTTCCTTTACAAAGCCACCATTTCTAAAAAATACAATTTTGGTTTTATCAATATTTACAGTTAATTTCCATTTCTTTGTATAAATATACAATGTATTTTACACCTCTTGCAAACCATCTTTGTTTTCCGAAAAAAAAAATGACTAAGTCATCTGCATACATTAATAAGAATAAACTTAATTCTTTCAACTCTACAGCTTTACAATTATTGCCAAGTTTATAAACTCCATCTTGCAATCATTAATAAACACTGGACACTTTTAATTTGCAAAACACTCATTTGCAAATCCGCCGCCGCCTCTCCTTAGAGCTACAGTGTCGTGTATATAACCAAAATGTGCGGAATTACATGGGATTCAATAAATTCATTGCTTTTCTGCTGTTATTATTATATCTATTTTGTAATTTGATTTAGAAAAACATGGGATTTTCAATATCCCATGGGATACGGCAAATCCCATGGGATTGACCATTATCCCATGGGATTTTGGTTAAATCCCATAGGATTTTTTTGGGTCCCATGGGATAATTGTAGTCCCATGGGATATTTGTTGTCCCATGGGACAAAAAAAATCCCATGGGACTATAATTATCCCATGGGATTTTTAATATCCCATGGGACAAAATAAAATCCTATGACTCAAATTATAAATATACAGTAAATAAATGTGCATGTTACAATGAATTCTGTTTGGTAGTAAATTGTTTTAAGATGAATCTTTTTAGTTGAATATCTTTTTTTTCCTTGGAAATGTTAATGCAATTATATTGTTCTATAACTGTTCAAAACTAAAATTTTAAACAACAAAGCAGATAATGTAAGTATCAATATATGTTTATTTATGAATTCTAGAATACTTTTTTGAAACACAATTTTTTCCCATTTGAAATCAAAGAAAACTCTATTAATAGGCTTAACATACTAGTAGCTTTTTACATAAATCTATTTTTTTTTCAGGATATCCCTCCACCCAAAAAATTAATAGTTTCTTATCATCCAGCATTGTGTGATCGTAATGTATAGTCCACTTTTTTGCCATTCAGCACAGAACATTGTCATATTATTGTGGTTTTAATATCTTTAGATATTTAAAAGAACTTCAATTCATTGGCTGAGTGATGAAAATAATAACTGATCTGACTTTTGTCTTTGAATTTATTTTGGTCTTGTTTCTGTGTTTTCTCCTTTTATTCTCAGTGATGAATTTCAATCCTTCTGAAAAAGAACCAATAAAATCCGAAGTTATGGATAGTAAAAAATTGTTTGCATACATGTAGCAAGAACATATGATTTTCAATAAAAATAGCTTTGCGGTATGGATTTTACTGATTGTTGAAGGTTGTCCAGTGTCATCAGTTGCTAACCTCCTACATCCTTTGGTCTCTGATGGAGAGTTGTCAAATTAGCAATATACCACATCTTCCTATTCTAATATTATATAACAATCAATTTATGTATTCTTCTTTATAACATTTGGGTATTTTCCCCAGTTATATATATATATAGATCAATGTTAAAACTTTAGGCAATTACAATAAAATTCCATTTTTCACAAGAATTTGCAATATATTATACAGAAAGCCAACAATAGAAACAGCACTTCTTTAAGCTTCTGAAGTTCTGAAAGAGTTCCACTTGTGTTTTATTTCAATTAGAAAATACATTGAACTCTTTGGACATGTTGGAAATTATAACATTGATACAAAAAATCATATTGGTTTTTTTTTCTTATTTTTGTGTTGTTCGGTTGCTGTCTCATTTTTATTTATGGTTATACATATATCCTAAATCTTCTTTTTTATATACTTAATCATTAATACACAATGTAGTAAAAATGGGATATTTTTTATTTTGATAATCTCAAAACATTATTATTCTATCAAATAACTTATTTCCAAGTTCACAAAACACCAATGTGTCAGATATTAATTTTAAGACATGTATAAACATGATCAACAAGCAGTTGACAGGATGTCATGCAAAAATCTCACTAATATTAAACTTTCACAAAAACTCCATACTCAGCGAGTACTATTAAAGTTCTTAGTACAGGACAAATACCTAGTACAGGACACAATGCCAGGCAAACACTAGCATACAGGTGTCAATGTCTAGTCAATCATGTAATCAGGCTCAAAATCTTAGTTTGGCACTGAATTTAAAAATTCATCACATAATGAACATGTGTATGAAATTCAACTTCATGGTATGCTATTTACCTTAACCTAAAACTTTAACCTAAGAATGTACTACAATTTCACATTATGACATTTCTATCAGTGTCTATGTTCAGTGATCCATAAAATCAGGGTAAAAACAGTAAATGTGGTGTTTAATGTATACACAAGAGTGCACACGCTGAAATGTTGCGCCTTCTTTACTAATCAATCATTGATATCATGTTGATAGTCCTAAATATAAAGCTTTACTACAACTATCACATAAACTCAACATGATCCAAGAAAATGAATTCAAGGTCATATAAACCTGACAAGAAATATATGTACACCTTACAATCATTCAAATTACTAAATACAGTTGACCTACTGTATTAATTGCTTATAGTTTCTAAGAAGCAGACTTAACCAAGAAAACTAAACATTGACCAATGAACCATGGAAATGAGGTGAAGATCAGATGAACCATGCCAGGCAGACATGTACAGCTTACAATCCTTCCATACAACACATATAGTTGACCTATTGCTTATAGATTAAGAAAAACAGACCAAAACACAAAAACTTAACTATAACCACTGAACTGTGAAAATAAGGTAAAGGTCAAATTAAACCTGCGGGACTGACATCATAAAATGTTTCCATACACCAAATATAGTTGACCTATTGCATTTAGTATTAGAAAAAAAGACCAAAACTCAAAAATTTAACTTTGACTACTGAACCATGAAAATGAGGTCATGGTCAGATGACACCTGCCAGCTAGACATGTACACCTTACAATCATTCCATACACCAAATATAGTAGACCTATTGCATACAGTATAAGAAAAACAGACCAAAACACAAAAACTTAACTATAACCACTGAACCATGAAAATGAGGTCAAGGTCAGATGACACCTGCCAGTTGGTCATGTACACCTTACAGTCCTTCCATACACCGAATATACTAGACCTATTGCTTATAGTATCTGAGATATGGACTTGACCACCAAAACTTAACCTTAAATATAAAAAAGAAGATGTGGTATGATTGCCAATGAGATAACAACTCTCCACAAGAGACCAAATGACACAGAAATTAACAACTATAGGTCACCGTACGGCCTTCAACAATGAGCAAAGCCCATACCGTACAGTCGGCTATAACAGGCCCCAAAATGACAATGAAAAACAATTCAAACGAAAAACTAATGGCCTAATTTATGTACAAAAAATGAACGAGCTGAATTACAGGCTCCTGACTTGGGACAGGCACATACATACAGAATGTGGCGGGGTTAAACATGTTAGCGGGATCCAAACCCTCCCCCTAACCTGGGACAGTGGTGTAACAGTACAACATAAGAACAAACAATAATAAAATGCTCCGCTGGGGCGCAGCTTGATACGACCGCAGAGGTCGAACCCTGAACAGTTGGGGCAAGTATGGACACAACATTCAAGCTTGATACAGCTCTGAATTTGGATTGTGATTAAATATTTGACACAGCATAGGTTTCTGACACAGAATGAATGTGGTCTAAGAACTTAAAAAATTTTAATTTACCTATTCAAACCATATCATTATTATTTGCTTTTATATATCATGTATATAAATCAGAAATAACCAATTTAAAATGGAAAATTTTAAAGAAAAAAAAAGGAAAAAAAAAAAAAAACCCAAATTTTTTGAACCCCCTTATGATTCATCACCCCAAAACTCAATAACAGCCTTCCCTTTGAGGTATGGTACCTTGCAGTACAATTTCAGAGAGATCCATACACTTGAACACAAGTTATTGTCTGGAAACTAGAAAAATGCTTGTTTTTTGGTCCCTTTTTGGCCCCAAATTCCTAAGCGTTTACGGCAATTACTCCCAAACTCAAACCCAGCTTTCCCTTTGTGATATGGAACCTTGTAGTACAATTTCATAAAGATCCATACACTTGCACACAAGTTATTGTCCTGAAACTAGAAAAATGCTTGTTTTTTGCCCCTTTTTGGCCCCTAATTCCTAAAATTTTGAGGCATTCACCCCCAAAATCAATCCCAGCCTTCCCTTTGTGGTATGGTACCTTGCAGTATAATTTCAGAGAGATCCTTACACTTACTTGAACACAAGTTATTGTCTGGAAACTAGAAAAATGCTTATTTTTGGCCCCTTTTTTGCCCCTTTTTCCTAAACGTTTTGGGCAATGTCCCCCAAACTCAATTCCAGCTTTCTCTTTGTGATATGGAACCTTGTAGTACAATTTCAGAAAGATCCATACACTTACACACAAGTTATTGTCATGAAACTAGAAAAATGCTTGTTTTTTGCCCCTTTTTTGGCCCCTAATTCCTAAAATTTTGAGGCAATTACCCCCATAAAATCAATCCCAGCATTCCCTTTGTGATATGGAACCTTGTGGTACAATGTCAGAGAGATCCATACACAAACACACAAGTTATGTCTGGAAGTTACAAAAATGCTTATTTTTGGCCCCTTTTTGGCCCCTAATTCCTTAACTGTTGGTACCATAACCCCCAAAATCAATCCCAACCTTTCTGTTGTGATATTGAACCTTATGGTAAAATTTCATAGAGATCCATTCTCTTAAACTAAAGTTAGAGTGTGAAAACCAATGTGTCTTCGGACAGCGACGACGACGCCAACGTCATACCAATATACGACCGCAAAATTTTTATGCGGTCATATAAAAATCAGTTGAAAGAGGCTTAACTCATCAGATGGATAAAAATACAAATACTACAAATACAAGTGGACGTGGCCGTACTTGTACATCCAAACAACAAAAAGACACTAAGTACAGATCTGAGAGTACTCGCAGTTACTGACAGCTAGTACAAAGCCACTAACAACTAATAAAAAAAATCATGCATCTAAGACTAAGTTCTTGTTCACTGATCCATGAAATGAGGTTTAGGTCAAGTGAAAACTCTCTGACGAGCATGAGGACCTTGCAAGGTACGCACATACCAAATATAGTTATCCTATTACTCATAATATGAGAGAAATTAACATTACAAAAAATCTGAACTTTTTTTCAAGTAGTCACTGAACCATGAAAATGAGGTTAAGGACAATGGACATGTTTCAGACAGAATTCGTATCATGAGGCATCTATATACAAAGTTTGAAGCATCCAGGTCTTCCACCTTCTAAAATATAAAGCTTTTAGGAAGTTAGCTAACGCCCAAGGGGGGGTCTCAACATTGGATTTTGGGTACAGTTGTGCAGCTGGAATTTAAAAAACACCCCCATTCATATATTGAATAATTGTGAAATCCCTACCTATACATATATTTCACAGCGAAATCATTACCCATTAAGTGAAGATCGCTGCACAACAAACTGAAAAATTATGACCCATTGATATATTTCCTAGGTAAAATTGCACCCCATTGATATATTTGATGCATCAAAAAAGGGACCCATTCCAGCGGCACATATGTATATACCTTAATATAGGAAGAGACCCCCTGTGCTAACGCCACCGCCGTAGCCGCCACCTCATCACTATCCCTATGTCGAGCTTTCTGCGACAAAAGTTGCAGGCTCGACAAAAATACATGAACATTTTAAAGTACTAAATTTTGAGTATAAACATGTAAACCACAAGTTACAAACTGAAGTTCATGGTGAACTGTAACCAAAAACTTTAAGTGAATACAATTTAGAGAAAGACAGATGGATGCACAAACACTATCATAACAGAGCATAAAACTTACCAAACAAGATGTTTTACATTTATCCTTCAGAAGCAGGAAAACTGAAGTGTTTCTTTTCTTTCTCTGCCCTCCATGATATAAACTTCAAATTCATTCATGCAAAATATGAAAATCTGCAAAAGTAGGACCTTGTACCGCAGCTTATCCACATTTTGACTTTTGAACTGCATTGTTCTTTTCATCTTGCTGGCAACCTAAACATAAAAAAAATGATAAACACATAATTCTGGATTAACTTTGTGTATTTATTTTTGTTGGTACAAACAATTTTTTCCAACTTTAAACTAAATCTGCCTCTGCTTTAAAAAACAACTGAAAACCATGTATTTATCTTAATTGAAAACAATTTCTTGAGTTTTTGTCATTCGTATCACCCTGTTATTATATATAAATTTTATTTTTTTCCCTTTTTAAAAATAGGAATGGTTTAAATTCCTCAATAACCATGATAATTCTAGTCAGTCAATTAAAAATGTATGAATAAATTATTTAACCTGTATACTATTAATATCAATATATTTCATTTTTGATAAAAACTAGGCTCTGTGTTGAAGACCATACCTTGACCTATAATGGTTTACTTTTATAAATTGCGTGACTTGGATGGAGAGTTGTCTCATTGGCACTCATACCACATCTTCCTATATCTACAAACAGATTCTATGGGCGAGCAGACATTATACCCTGGAGGTGGTTTTAAAAAAAGCATATGACTTAGATGTACCATCTCATGGAAAAACAATTCAGCAGTCAGTTTCACAAAAAAACTTACAAATAATATTGATAGTAATTAAGTCATGTACAAAACAGTATACTTACGATAAATGGTAAGTTTTTTTTTTTGTAAAACTGACTCAAGTATACTTATAATCAATCTTAGTCGTGAGTATTAAGTATTATTCATCTTTTGGATAATTTGTTGGTTTATTTTATGAATATACAGTGGCAAATCCAGAACTTTTCATAAGGGAGGGCCGGCTCCAGTCATGCTTCAGTTATCCCTATATAATCAACCAAATTTTTCCCAAGAAAGCCCCCCCCCCCCCCCCCGGATCAGCCTATGATATATGTTTATATATCTCTCTGATATTCCATTTCAAATCAAATGTGTATTAAATAAAACTTTACACTAGAAAAGTAATGGATAGTTACTCATTTGGGAAACTTACTGTGTGATAAGTTCACAGCATGCCGGTGCCTGTGACTGCATGTGTTCAAAGTGGTGGGTTTTCACCCTCGTTGTATTGCGGAATAACGATTTAGGCAAATTGAGAAAAACATCATGTCTGTGGTTGATAATAGTGTGTGTGCATTTATTTAATTTTCTATACCTTCTTATTTAATATTCTTCCAATTTTGAGTACTGACGGCAAGTGTAGTAACCAATGTCTTGAGACCAATGTGCTATTTACAAGTGCGATCGAGAAATGCAGGGGAAAGAAACTTATCAATTATGTTTATTCTTAAGACAAAACTGAGCCGCCGTAAAAATGAACCGTGTCGAGGAGGTTACTGACACGTAATAGGGCAGAGACATATTTACACATATGTGTATATATATGTCTCTGTGATAGGGTCATCCCTCGAGAACATTAACTAGTACATTGATAGTTTACTATGCAGTCAGTATTACGAGAAAAAAAAACGTATGGATGCAAAACGCTTAGTGGTTTCGGCTGACTACTAATACGTGCAATTTGTCTAAAAAATATCCCGGCAGCGTTAAAGTTGAAGTCAGGATCTTGGGGGGGTGGGGTGGGGGGGGGGTCTTCTTTTTCTGTGTTCTTTATTTTTTTTTGCTATATTTCTACAAACTTACACTTTTTGCTCATTACTCTCTTTCCTCATATTTTAGCATTTCATTATTCTTTAATCTTTATTGTTTGCCCGTTATTCTCTATTCTGTTAACCCCCATCCATACCCTGTTATGTGGACTTAAGCTTTCGGTAGTTTATTTTATCCTATTTCTGTCTAAAAACATTATTTATCACAAAACAAAAACATACTAAATATTTATTTATGAAGTCCTCACCAGTTGCGGATCCAAAAAAATGTCATAAGGAGGCACTAACTGTCATGCATAAAGAGGGGGCCCGCTTCAGTGATTCTCTAAATAATCAACCAATTTTTTTTCCAAAAAAAGGGGCGGGCCCCCATGCCCTCACTTTAATCCACCTCTAAACCCTTCCCACTTCGTATCCTTGAATTCAGATTCAAGATCTCTCTGACTAAAGTAAGTAAGTAAGTCACATTTGCTTATATCAGGTTTTTGAATTGAACTGGCGGATAGTTGTTTTATTGCCAATCGTACCACATCTCCTTATTTATATATATACGAAAGCTTTGTTCATATTTTTTGGTGTATTGATGAATGTGTAAAGATGCAGCAATTGTAATACATTTTAAAATACAGCACAAGAGATGCAGATTATATAAAACCAATCTCACTATACAAATCCTTGATAAAACTTATAAGTCGAAGACATACTGACAAACGCCATGGCAAAAACTTAAAAACGACCAAATGACGTACAACAGTCTATAAAACTTGACTATAGCATTTAAAACACATAAGAAGCACCCAGACAGTCAAACAGAAATTAAAAGAATAAATAATTTGTAAAGATTTTCAACTAGGCCTACAGCTATATTTTCTTATCGTGTAACAGTAGGCTAAACCTGGGACTATTATACTACTAGTATAAGTATAATAGTCCCAGGCTAAACATAGGTTCTGGTATTATGTGATAAGTCATTTTTTCATGCAGACCCTTAAAGTGGTTTTATGCATATCAGCCCAGATTATGTGTGTAATTTTATTGATCAATTAATTCAACAAAACACGTTCTAAACAGGTTAAATTCAATTTAAAAATTTACAAATTCAGATCTACTGGCATCCAACACCCAATTACTTACTTGCTGTATATTGCTAACTTTGATTGTATATTGTCAATCCCTCCACATCGTGAATACGCCATGCGAGGTGTTGGATAAGTTTGATACAGGGTGGCGGCTTCGAAGCGTAGAAAAAAATCCAGGTAAATGAAAGTGTAAAATTTTGTTGTTGATAATTTTAAGAACTAAATTCCTAAATTTGTACTTAACTCCGTTCTACGGGTAACATGGTTGTTTGATGTGAAAATAGGATACAAAGCATCCGGAAAAATTAATTATCACGTTATAAGTATTCGTAAATGGATATGAAAAAACTTAACAAGGAATAAGTATTGGTAAACGGACAGAAATTCGCAGACAAAGGTTTAAATTAATTATTTTACAATTGTTTAAATATATGAGAGAAAGTTCTTGACGAATTGACTTTATTTATAGATAAATGTATTTAGTTGAGGAAATGATTAGGAAATGACTTCAGTTAATTACCAAACCACTTTGGCAGATTGTTTTCTTAACAATCATTGTTCATATTAATATTCAAAAATAAATTTTGTTTACAAGTCCGTTTCCTTTTAAAAATGTTTCAGAAAAATACTGAAACGTTTTTAAAATTAAGTTTATTCAAAGAAAAAAATATCCCAAAACTGAATCGTGACTTTTTACTTGTTACTTTTTGTTGTACGTTCTAAGTGTCAATCTTAGCAAACACAAATTTGGAAATAAAATCGATTACAATGTAATTTTATAGAAGGAAAAGGGGGGTTAATGAACAAATAATAACTATACACTCACATACTTCTAAAAAGAGTTGCATATGTAAGCTGTCTATAGATAATGTTAAATTATTTCAGGAGTTTCAATTAATTTAGGAGAAAAAAAAGATTATAAACAGTTTAGTTTTCAACGCCTACTACTACAAAAAATAGTGATTCTTTTTATAGATTTGGTACTTCAGTTTCGACTCAAAATTTCCTATTGTAATTGTTAGATGCCAAATATTTAGGAGAAGATTGTATTTGTACTTTATGTAATTGTGGTGATATTGGCGACGCGATTCATTATATTTTATATAGCAAGGATTTGTAAAAATCCTTGATTATAGAATGTTCGGCAATAGACGAAAGTAGACAAACCCTATTTAAACGGGGTTTTGATCTCCAAGGACGCCACATTTTACATCGAATAAGATCTATATTTGTTAACGTTTTCAAATGTAATAACTTGAATTGAAAATTTCCCGCCTATGTGAAGATTTCTTATATTTCTAAATGGCTTCAATTATTACATACAAAACGAAAAATTTATTAAACTTTTTTTGTAAAAACAATATTCATGTATTTTTATAATTTTTCCAAGGAAACGTTTTTATTTTTTTGTTTGTGTGCAAAGTTTACTTGTATGTGTTTATAACCATCACCAATCAGTCCTAATTATTAAAGATCAAATGTCGTAATCAAAATGATGATTGGTATTGAATATGATCATCGGTCATGCATGACGTATCCCAAATAACTTCTTTAATGTTGGTTTGATTTTATCAAAACCAATATTATAAGATCAAATATTAAATTTTCTATCGAATGTATACCCTCAACGCTCACTAAAACATATATACATGTCCTGAGTGACTTTTTATGTCCTGTCTGCACTCAGGAGGTCCTGAGCGGTTTTTAGACGTACCGTTAATTTATAGGCATATATTTGAAGCTGTTCTTAATTATGTACATTATCTATAGGTATACATGTATCAGACAAAAAGACTTTCCAATGAACTTAGTTCTAGTTATCTTAGTTCCTAGTCACAGGCACTTGTCTCAGAAAAAAATTTCCTATATACTTTTAATGTTATATTAAGCAGGGACTTTCTATACTAAGTTAGTATAGAAAGTCCCTGTATTAAGGTATATAGGAAACAAAATTCTGAGACAAGTGCCTGTGGTCCTAGTGTGAAATAAATCCACTGGGAATTGGCCTTTTAAACACATCTATATATACGTTTTCTCAAGGGTTTGTACATGTAAAGTGAAATTATGTTTACTCAATGCGTAGTTACATAAGTTTATTTGCTACTTTTTTCTTCTTTATTTTATATAAATGATTTTTTTTTTTAAATTTTAACATTTTTTTCTTCGAAAGAATTGTAGTGTTGCAATAGGGAATGGACACAGATACTTAACTACATTTAACGAAAAAAAATTTGTGTAATGTCATCAATCTGTATTACACATAGACAGGATGTTCTCTAGAAAACTATGATATTTCTAATACGTTATACACACCCCAGGGTACACGCACTGTCGTATTGGAAAATTACTGCATGCTTTAATTACCTGTAAACAGCCATGCAACAAATCAGTTGACTGACCATGTCATTACAGTTTAAAAAGTTTTTCCTCAGATCGAAACGGAATATTCATTTTAACTTTAAAATTTAAAACTTTAAAAAGTATACTTTGATATAATTATGACGTAAAAGAATTTAACAATTTAATAATCGGATTTTTCCAAAGATTAAGATACAATTACCTTTTTTATTCTGGGACTGACAGATATATCACAGGCACTTGTCTCAGAATTTTTTTCCTATATACAGGGTCACAAGGTCACATTTTAAAACTTTTTCAGTCGCCCAGTCTCAAAAAGCAATTTTGACTGGCATTGTTTTAGTCGAATTATGTTTTTGCAGGTCAGGTTGCAAAGTGGCAGGTCGGATTTGACAATGTCAAGTTGACAACGGTCCTAAAAAATATCCTAAAAAACGTTGAATCAAACGATATGAACCTACGCAGTTTTATATTATAAGACTGACACACACCAGTGTGCTAACTGTGCTGGGTGAGGTGCTGTAACTTGATATACATGTATCATTAAGTTACAGTACTGTTAGGATTTGCCAGCTGCCTTTTTACAGGGACTTTCCATACTAACTGTTAGTATAGACTGCCCCTGGCTTGAAAGTATGGTTCTCTGCTCATCAACGGGTGCGTGATTAGCAAATCAAATATCTTGTAGCAGTGAAATACCTCCGGGGGGGAGGGGCACTTCAGTACTTTATTGATAGGGGGTGTCGCTGAGGTTCTGTTACCCCACCCTATTCATATAATTTAGATCTTAAAAATGTATACCTTTTCATATATTGCGTGGGTAAAATTGTAACCTTTTCCCATATTGGTTGGTTTTCGTGGGGTGTGTTGGAAAAGTGGAATATTTAAGGCTAAGATTCTGTATGTAATGTTTACTTACGGCGAGACTTTCGGCTGTGAAAAAATGACAGGGCTTTTCATATAGAAGTAATTGGAACTTTATCGACCTTATCATATATTTCTGATAATTCAGGAGCACAGTCTGTCTTTACCGTAAATAACTTCGAGATTAATATGTAAGTTTACTTTGCTAATCGATGTTCCTGTAATTCAGATTTAAATTTATTTGTGAGACCCCCGTCACTATTTATATTCACTCAAAGAAAGGGGTTCTCCGTTACTGGGAAAATCCAAGGACGTATTGTGTTAGTTATACCAGAGACATATATATATGTCTCTGGTTATACGTCCTTGGAAAATCTTATCTGATTCAGGATCAATTTATCGGTTACACTCCCCTATCACCAGTGATTCTTTGTGAACTGACATTATGAAAAAGGTATACTTTTGACTATCAATTTGCATGATTAGTTACAGATGTCGACTCGGACTACTGCAAAAGACAATAATTCAGTTCACTGATTTAGATTGAATAGTGGTTCGGTTAATCCCCTCTTCCCCAAACAAGTAAGAATTAGGTTATATCTTTTGGTAGTCCAAATAATTATGGTTCATGTGGACCCTTTGGCTAAAATGGCTGCATTTTCACCTCAAAATTTACTCTGAGTACAGACAAACCTGTGTATCTGGAAAAGTTTTAAGGCATAGCATGCCCTAGATAAATAAAATTCAAATATATTTATGTTTTAGAAAATTAAAAACTTTACAGGATTTTGCAGTGCACTTTTTTTCAATCCTCCTGTAGATGCCAAAATAAACTAAGTTGTGAAAGAGGTTTGAGAACTTCCCCACTGGTAATAATTGAAGTGAACTGTATTAATTGACATGGACAATAGATGGACAATAGATACCTGACAATAATTGGTGATTTAAACTGTGTACCTGAGTGGACCATATCAAGTCAAAGTCAAATTTTATCATCTTCTGCAGGGACGAAAAAAAGTGCACTGCAAAATCCAGTTGAGTTTTAAATTTTCTAAAACATACAATGTATTTGAATTTTATTTATCTAGGGCATACTATGCCTTAAAACTTTTCCAGATGCACAGGTTTGTCTGTGCTCAGAGTAAATTTTGAGGTGAAAACGCAGCCATTTTAGCCAAAGGGTCCACATGAACCTTAAGACGTCTAGCAAGGCAATTTTATTTTTTTATGCCCTCGCCGTAGCGGTGGGGGCATTGAGTTTTACCCTTGTCCGTCTGTACGTACAAACCGTTACGTCCGTACGTCCCAAAATTGGTTTCCGTTCTCTAACTTGAGTTTGCCTCAACCAAATGTTAAAGTAAAAACTTATACACAATGCTTATTACCACAAAACACAGATCAATTTTGAATTTTGGTGGCGTCAATTTAACCGTTCTAGAGTTATGCCCTTTATAAATGGAAAAATTGCAAAATTTTTAGTTTCTGTTCTCTAACTTAAGTTTGCCTCAACCAAATGTTATAAAACTTATACACAATGCTTATTACCACAAAACACAGATCAAGTTTGAATTTTGGTGGCGTCACTTTAACTGTTCTAGAGTTATGCCCCTTTATAAATGAAAAAATTGCAAAATTTTTATTTTCTTCTAAATATCAAGTAATTTTTAAAATTGGAATTATCTTCCTTTGTCCATTATTATAGTTGAATCAACTACAATCAATGCTTTATACAATGCAATGTTTAATTTTGATTTCCACTGATAAAACACAGATTAAGTTGAATTTGGGTAGTGTCACTTTAACCATTATTGAGTTATGTCCCTTTATAAATTGAAAGATTTCAAATTTTTAGTTTCCATTCTGTAACTTAAGTTTGCCCCAACCAAACATTATGAAACCTATACCCAATATTCATTACCACAAAACTAAGATCAAGTACAAATTTTTTGTTTCCGTTTTCTAACTTTAGTTTGC